TCCTAGAAAGAATGATCAACCCTAAGAATCCTAGAAAGAATGATCAACCCTAAGAAACCGGTACGACGGAATTTCGGAAACATGAAGCAGTACAGGAGGAAGAAAGTAGTCACCAGGAAGAATAGTAGAGTAATCATCGAAGGTATCACTTTGAAAGTGATTTAGCAAAAATCAGCTTCAATAAATGATTCAATGACAACATAAGGATACAGTAGCTGGGGAGAAAGGTGCCAAAAGGCGTTCACTCAGGAGAATAACTTCCACGTAGCCGCCCACCCTGAAGAATAACTCCCTTACATTTTATCCCTAGGTAGAACCAGCCCTGGCATGTATTGTGCAGAGTTCAGCATGGTTGACTGATCATACATTGATCGCTCTGTAACTGGATGTCGAGTGCCGCTAGTAATACTCTACAACTACTCTAAATAGCCTCCCATAGTAAGCCTCAAGGAAACCAGCGGAAAACTTGGGTAAAATTCCGATACCAGTTCGCTGTGACCCTGGTACAGTAGCAGATGAAACCCTCGACGAGAGCAGATCCGCATGCGGAATGGTTCAGTTTTTTGTTTTTTGCCATTGAGCAGGTGGGTTATCGAGAATCTCATCGAGTAACCCTATAATGTCGTATGGTCAGCCAACTTATTTAGATCGAAAAAAGAGCAAGGCTGTATGGCCGAGAAAAAAGTGCCGATTGGGGCCAATAGCCACTGCAAAGCGGAACATCACACCTGTACAGGGGACCAATTGCAGACCTGGATGGTTCTGTTCTTACGACAGAATAAAGATTCAAAAAGGTAGTACTGGATTCCCCACCAAACCCACCAAACTCCCTGGTCTTGCAACAGAAGGAGGTCTCACAAGAGTAGTACTAGTTTCCGAGCTAACTAACTTTTTTAGGGATCATGCAAGAGGTGGGGCAGGCAGGCTATACATGACAAAGCCAGAGTAAGTAAAGGAGTTGGTAAGAAACGGCTGTAACAGTGGATACTGTACGTCATATCGAATGGCCGGAAATCAGATGTTGGCATGTCGCGTGAGTGGGCGGGGGTGACAAGCCTTGGTGGCACGAGCGAATCACGTTCCAAGGTCGTCCAATGTATTGTACGTCAACAAAAGTAGAAATGAGATGCCATCGAAACGGGCGCGTCAGAGTTAATCGTAAAGTATCTCGTTTGCAATTCTCACCAACGCGCAAAGGGGCAGGATTATGACGAAATGGCTAGAAAAGGAAATTATTGGGAGTGAAAAAAAAACTTGACATTCGCGCCGTCTCGTCTTGATGCGCGTCGTTCGCTTCTGGATTGCTGCGCGCGCACATCTTCAATGGTTCTAGAATTTCAATGATTGCACTTTGCATGATCGCGAGGGAGAGGGTGGGAGGGGGGGGGAGGCGAGAAATGACCAGCTTGAAGTTTAGCGGTCATGAAAACAAGGTGCAGCATGACTGGGACAACGCCATCAGGAGTATCGTAATGTAGGCTGGAAGTAGTAGAACACTGATAAAGTTGTAAGGGAAAGTTGAAGTTGTGTAATGCTGAGAAAGTTGTAAGAGAAGGTTGAAGTTATAAAGGAAGTTGTAGACAATTTTGGAGCAGCGGCAAGACGTAGACGTTGAGAAAGTCGTAAGGGAAAAATGAGAATTGTGGGAGAAAACTGGAGCAATGGTAGGAACAGGGCCTACGTTAGGGATTCTCAGAGAGGGGGATATTTGGTAGGGGGAATACGTAGCTCCTGCCTCTCTGAAAAAAAATCTTGCTCAGTTGTTCACTTTCCTCAGGTTTCGTTTTTCAGGGCACTATTAGTCTCCGCAACTCCCACCCTTTCATGGCATTTTTTTGAGGAAAAGTGGAATAACTAATGAGCAAAAAACTCTGGAAAACTGATGATAGTGGTAAGAGGGTCGGGAAATTCAGCGGAAGATCGGGAGGTTAGGATAGGCAGAGGGAGGCGAAGGGAGCGCACAAGAGCAGGGTAGGCCTTGAGAATGGGGGTACTTACTTTGCGAAAAACCTTGAATGAACCTTAGGGGAAAATAGGTAGGAGGGGAAAAAGGTATTCAAGCTGAGAAATTCGGAGAAGGGTTGTACCGACGTCAAAAATTCACACACCACGATGCTGAACTATTGATTTCCCCGGTTTTACCTATTTCAAGTGCATTGTATCCCCCCTCTCCACTGAAAAAAAAACTCGGAAAAATGACAGGAGGTTGGGATAATTTCCAGAGATGGTAAGTAGGATGGAGGATGGAAAAGAGAATCTTACCAGAGGAGGACATTCCGAGGGGGAAGAGGTCGTGTTTTCCAATAATTCGTGGCAGGATTCTGAAAGACGGGTAAAATAGGGAGGGGCGTACCCGGGTGAGAGAATCTCGGGGTGAGGGTCGTTCTGATACCGCTGTTTCCCACATCACGATGTTCTATCCTGCATAAACAGCGATGTACAAGTCCTTGATGCGCACTTTCTGCTTCAGTGTATAATTTCACAGGAAATTGACCGTTAATGCATCCAAAGGAAGTAAACCTTCAGTTGTCATACAGTAGTCGCTCAACCATATGCGCGCATGATTTTTTTTCGAGTAGTCAAGGACAAGTTAATGTTTTCCGATTGGCAAAATACAGGCATATAGCCATGACAGGTGATGGACACAATGTGAGTTGAACTGACTTGCCACCATAGGAAGAAAAATAGGAGGCGTTCTTGAACAACGATGTACAAGGACAAATATATCCAAATATAGCCAAATATGGCAACATCAAATATTGTTATGACGATTCGGCGATTTAGGGCGCGTTCAGCATGAGTAATCGACAATGATTAACAACGATCAGCTAAACAGCAAATACTGTAATCCGCACTCCGTAGGGGTGAGGATTTACTAAAAAAGAATTCGAGATAATCACAGCACAAGCGATGAGCATACCCCTATGGAAATTACAAATTCTGGCTCCCTCGCGCGCAATTCGGCTACGGGGAGGGCGGGGGGGGGGTATTTTGCATCCTGAGCAGCTCCATATTGTCGAGTCGAGCCATAAAGTAGAGATTTGTAAAATCTAGCGCAATCTCAAAGTGATACTAGTCAAAGTTTGTAGAAAATATTCGTCAAGCCTTGTAAAGCAATTAACACTACAAAGGGAAGCAGCGAAAGTGCAAAATGCCCCAGCCACAGCTAAAATACAGTCCCATTTGGCTCCAGAACAAATCGAAAGTTATTATCGAGTATCATTGCTCATTATCATCCACTACAGCTACGTTCCTCTTCACTCTGCATTTATGAAAGGAGCTATATCTTAATTAGATGTGTCCAGGGGGGGGGGCTAGAAAGCGTGGTTTGTACAATACAAGGGTCTCACTATCCGCCAGGTTTCGTATCTCGAAATATGAAAGCACTGGCTACGTGAAAAAGGACGCAACATATTTATGCCTTAGATAGTAACATCTCTTTGTATTTCTAAGCAGTACGCGCTTTGCGCCCTAAGCACTCGTATTAAACGGCAGTTGGCACGATGTTTGACCTACTTAAGTCTAAAAATGCTTAAGTAGGGCGCTTGTTAATAGTGGGAAACAATGGCGAAAACGCGAGTGAAAACGGTCAAAATCCGTGAAGCAAAAGCCTCCGTTAGCTCAGTGCACTCTGTAAATCGATTTCGACGAGTTCCCGTAGCGCAATCTTGGCAATCACCGCTACCGAAGGTACGGCTGCATATGTGTACCCATATATGCATGCAGCATCACCGCCGCTTCATACCAATCCCTTTGCTTCATAATTTGCTCAGCAAATGAATGAATACGAGCGTCAGAAACGGTCGTCCGTTTGTGGGCGGGCAAGGAAGGCGTTTGGGACGTAAAGTTGTTGCTCAATAGGGCGTTATAGAGGTACCCTCCTTGGAAAAGGCTTCACGCAGCGCCTGTCCGAGGTCACGGAATTCTGTTAAGCCAGTTGTACAAATCCTACACCTGTATAGCGTCGATTATCGTGCCAACTGCCTTTAAAGGCAGCGCCCGCGTTCATTTGATGTTCCTACGCCCTCCTTAGATATCGTAGCTTTGTCGACAAGGGTGGAGGATGTACTAATTTCGCAGCTCAAAAATACGAGAGGATGGCGCCACCCGCTTGTGAAGAGGATGCCGCCCCGCCCACCTAGCTACCATAACTGCTTTAGCTTAGGCTTTAAAGGCTGAGCACGCTTTCAAGAATAATGAGTTATGGAGCTCATATAATATGTGATCCAGTAGTGAAGAAAAAAAAGAGAAATCATAGAAAATGCCCTATATGGAACCCCACGCTGGCCAGGTGGGCGGGGCGGCCGACTCTTCACTAGCGAACGGCGCTATCCTCTCGCCTTTTTGAGATGCAAAACTAGTACATACTGCATCCTCATAGGGAGGGCCATGATATCCAGGGAGGGCGCGGGAACATCAATGAACGTGGACGCTGCCTTTAAGTGCAATAAATGCACAATCGAGTAAATAAGTAACTTCTGGAATCCTCCAGGTAGAGGATTTCAACTCATTTGAGTTCAGTTCGGCTTTGTTCATTGCCGTTCACTGGACACCAACCGTGGGAATCTATAATTCCATTCCTCGCCCTGCGATACAGACACCGTGTTTCCACCTACAGGGTTCTACCAGTAAGTGAACCGTTGGAAAAGAAACCAGAGTTTCCGAACAACCTGTGCTCCAGCCCAGGGCAGACATCGCTAACATCGTGCATAAGATCTCTCAATAT